TTAAACTTCGTATTTAATCACGTGACTAAAGGTTTATATTAAACCTTTAGAGGGCGATATTCCACAGATATTAATAGAATTCTTTAACGAATTAATTATTCTATACGGAGAGAATATAACTATATTCTTAAATTAATATTAATTCGCTCGGAAATATTTACTTTAGTATAACGTAATATTTCTTCGGCTACTATAAGTCGCCTCGTATAAAATAATAGCTCGTCTTATTCGAATTCGATAAAATCGACACTATAATACTTATTATATCTAGTTACGGAGAACGTTTAGATCGTTCTCGACGATAAAATATTTAACGATAATAGGTAAATCGCTAAGTGTAACCGTTCCGAGTAATTAAATATACTTAACCGGTACGAATTTATAGAAGCGGCCGGGCTATACTAGATAAACGCTCTTTCTATAAACTATAATAATCTAATTATATTCGAAGAAAGATCTAAATTAGTAGCACTACTTACTATATAAAGTTTAATTATTAAGAATAATTTAGACTTAGTAGTTTACTAACTTATTATTCGTTTTAATACTAATAATCTCTTTATATCTCGAGTTACGAATTTCGTCGATCTTATCGGTTCTTTTAATACTTTTATAAGACGTCTAAATACGCGAACTACCTAAGGCGACTAAACTTTTACTTCGGCGGCCTCTATTACGTTTACTTCTATTACTTTAATCTCTATACGATTATAGTAAAGTACTCTTCCGATACGATTTAGTTTAGCGGATATAGAACGAGAAAATTTAATATAGCTTACGAAACTAAAAGAAGAACGCTCTATTCTTAGAAATTAAGAATAAGTAAATTAAATAAAAAATAATTCGATTAATATTTTAGACGTTATAAAGAGACCGAGACTATAGATAGTAACTCTCGATTTAGGCTTCGTAGCTCTAAGTCCCGGCTATAATCTAAGTATAAAGAAGCCGAGAATTTCTAAACTCTTTTACGAAATCGAGATTAAATAATAACTTATAAACTAAAGAATATATATTACTAACTCTTTCGAAGCCGTTCTACTATTATACTTCCTCGGAAGGGATACGCTTAATAACTTACTAAATTCGATTTCGAATTTTAGAAGTCTTATTATATTCGTATAGTTAATAATTTAAAAGTATATAAGATAAATAAATTACGAAAAAAATTTATTCTTAGTTAATTACGAAGATATATAACGATATTACGAATTCGAGACTAAAAGAATAATTAATATATTAAGCTTACTTATTAAATATATATTTAGACGATATATATTCGTCTATCTATATATAGCTAAGAAAGAAATCGCCTTATATCTAGAAGAATTAAAAAGAATCGCCGCGTCTTATAAAGATTTTATAAAGAATCTTAAATAATTAATAAAGTAATAAGAAGAAAAGTTTAAGACTATAAATTACTAAGTTCTACTTAGCTATTTCGATTATAGAGCTATCGATATCTTAAGTAGTGCTCTTCGGAGCGCTCTATTAAGCTCTAAATATAATGAATAAATTAGTGAGTCTTTCATTAATACGAGAATTATAGTAAGCCGGAAAGAATTATATATAAGATATATCGTTATCTTAGACGCTACGTTTCTTTTCTAGGTTAACTAATATAGAAACGTAAACGCACTGATGAAATTTAAAGCCTAGAGAAATATTAACGATAGTATAAGACGACTCATTATCTTTAACGACGACTTAATAGATAAAGAGTATTATTAGCTAATCTTTATAGTCGATAAAATAATATAGTGTTAGACACAGCCTTGGAAGGGACCGGCCGAGGGCTACACGGGCGCGGCTCTCTACACTCATTGACCAAATGGAAGGGTCCGCAAGAGAGCAAGGCTGAGTCACGTGATATGCCCTGCTGGCCCTGTTGGCTCTGCTAGCCCTGTTGGGACAGAGCGCACAGAGCGCACAGAGCGCACAGAGTATAAGTATTATATATACACCCTCATTACCCCTAGATAGCTTACACTCTCTTCGTAGCTAACTCATATTAACTATTGGACTTATAGTTCTTAGTGACAAGTGACTCCTCATACCTTACGTTCTTCTCAACCAGTTCATACTATTAGAATTGTTACTAGGAACTCTAACCTAGTTAGGCCCCGGTAGGAACCTTAACACTTTAGCTACTACCCTTATTGTGGAGAACGACCCCTATGAGCAGTCAAGGAAGACCCGACCGACTTATCTCGCTCATTGACGAACTAGCACGACGTACAGCACGACTATCTCTTAACGACACTATATCTACTACTACTAGTACTTCGAGATTAACACCGAGTACCTTAAGGACGGTAATAACTACCGCCGCGCTAGCACTAGTGACTAAGGAAAAAATTAGTAACCTATCTAAGTCTTTTAACGGCGTAAAATCTAAATTTATACTCTTTATTCACCACACGGATTTATATATTCTAATGAATCTTACTAACTTTTAGAATAACTTATAGAAAATACTCTTTATAGGAAGTTACTTCGAAGATAATACCGAGGCTTAGCTTAGACCCTTCGTTAAGAACTATATTAAGAATAAAGCGAATAATAAAGAGAACGAGACTATTAGTCTCTTCGCTACGTTTACGGAATTTAAGAAAATAATAAAACTAATATTCGAGGCGAAAGATAAAGAAAAGAAAGCTTAAAAGAAAATAGTGAGTCTCCGATAAACTAGATCTATCTAAGAATATATAACTAAGTTTAGAACGCTAAATATAAAGCTTAGCTAGTAAGATAATATTACTATCTCTATCTTTTAAGAAGAATTAAAGCCGAAAATTAAGTAAGAACTTCGATATTTAGAGGAGAAATTACTAAAGAAATAAATAGCTACGGTTATTAAGGAAGATAACGATATTAAAGAATATCATTAATATAAGCGTCTTAATATCACTCGAAAAATCTATATAATAAGGGCTCAACGAGTTAATACTTAGAAAAGGCGCGAACTTTATTACGGGTTATAATCTATAGATCTAGATTAAGCGTAAAAAAGACGTAATAATAATAAAGAAAATAGAAAAGGGAAAATCGATCTTAGAAAAGAAAAAGAAACGGCTTATTATAGTTACGGTAAGCTAGGCCATTACGCGAAAGACTATAAAGATAAGAAAAAGTAGATTATAGCTACCGAAAAGAAATCT